CAGCCTCCCCTGCGGTGCCGCCAAACAGCTGATCGGCACGGCGCAGTGGCCATTTTGATGTAAATGAAGCAGCGATTATTTAAATCGCCGCTTTATTTTCCTGTGTCAAGTAAACTCATCTACATGGCTCCGTCGACGGAGCCATGTAGTCTAGACGTACCCCAGCTGTCCCTCTCCACACTACTGTGCTGCTCCTGCCCTCTGCTTGGAGCTGAGCCTCCTGCTTGCTGTGAAGGGTGAGCATGGGCGTTAGGTGAAAGTGCAGCTGGGGGAGGCAAGCCCCAGCCCCGCCCCTTCTGCTCGAGGCCCCACCCATGGGGCAACCCTACTCATGAGGGTGGGGAAGGCAAAAGAGGAGGGTGTTGAGATCATTGTCCCCTTCCCTCTATCCCTGTCCCCCATCTCCACAGAGTGAGCAGGGCAGGGCCTCAGAGAACAGGTGGGGCAAGGCCTTGAGGAAGGGGCTGGGAAGGAGGTGGGACCAGGGTATTTGGGTTTGAGGTAGATCCTGGATTAATTTAAACTCAAAAACTGATCTTTGTGCTGAAAAAGCTTGGAGACCACTGCCCTAGACCAACTTGTCAGCTCCCCAAGAAGAGGTTGGCATTGAACTCATGTGTGTACTAGTCCGAATAGTGCTATAAACAAGTACGCCAGCATAAGCCTAGGCTCTTCAGAGGAAACGAGTGGTTTATTGATGTGCTCTCTCCGTTGCTGACACTAAACCCCTGCCTCTCTTTCAGCTAGCAGAAAAATACGGGCCAGTGTTCACCCTCCACTTTGGGTCGCAGAAAGCCGTGGTACTGACTGGATATGAAGCAGTGAAGGAGGCGCTTGTGAACTTCACAGATGAATTTGTAGACCGACCACCCATCCCGATATTCGAACAAATCCAGCATGGAAACGGTACTAACCACTGGAGACAGGAGAGCCTCAAAAGTGTTCAGCCTTGGCCTACCTCTTCTCCTATGGCCATCATTGCCTGAGCATTTTTGGAAGTCCTGCCTCAAGTCTGTATTTTAGCTAAACTAGCCCCCAAATCCTGATTATTTGGAAGGGCTTGTGGGTGTTTTCACTACCGGTAGTTACTCTGGCAAATGACTTTGTGATCAGTTAATGGTCTGAATTTTAAAAGATGAGGGTAACATTTTAAAGGCACAATGGCAGCTATATGACTAATTCCCATAGGCAGCCAATGTGAGTTAGGTGCCTCACAGCCACTGACGCATTTTAGCTGAGGTATCAGTTCACGAGAGAGAAACCATATGGGATTTGGTGCTCAGATATTTTGCCCCTCTTGCCTGGTGCTGCCATTTTGGATGTATTCATTCCAGAACATTCTGCCTCCCCAAATGGCCCTTTTTAGAACAATATATCACAGGTTCAAACAAGGGATATGGGGCGATGCTGTCATCCTTTCCCTCAAACAGCTCCATTGTTTGCAATAGGCAGTTCCTCCATCCCCATATCACAAATGGCTTAGAAAACATTTCACCCAGACCCTCCTCTTATTTCTTCCACTCTCTAGCTCAAAGTTTAACCAGGAATTCCAGCATCAGTTATTACAGGGTGCTCCTTGAGTACAGTGAGTGACGGTGCCCACCCCCCATCACACTCTGAGTGCTGATGTCAGCGCCACAAGCTGACAAATCAATGGAAGGAGAAAAAGAATTGGTCAGAGTCAGTATTGCTGTCACATTGATATAATGGGGGGCTCCTGGTAGTGCAGCAGAAAATCTTTCACGTGTAGTGCTAGGTCAATTCTAATCCAGAACAGCAGGGACGAGCAGCTATTACAATCTGCTGATTTTAGTGATGTGGGTGAAATGAGCTTGGTGGACTCAGCTTCATTCCCAGGGACGGGGATGCTGAGAGATTTGCTGGGCCCCTGGGCAAGGAGGAGAGGGCTGGCTCCATGCTCCCAGAAGGGGTGGCGTCTCAGTTGAGTGGGAGAGGGCTGGAGCAGCCAGCCCACCAGGCTTCCCAGAGCAGGCTGAGTTGGGCCCCTGCCAACTGTCAGAGCCATCCGGATCGTGCTATGTAGTGCTCCAGTGGCAAATTAAAAGTCCTGGGGCTTTAGCTACTGCTGCTCCTGGGGTAGCTGCCCTCCTGGGGCAACTGTCCCCTTCCCCTTCTCCCCCTCCCCCCGTGGTCAGCAAATCTGCTCAGAGGGATACCATCCATGTCACACAAGCAATGCCAATGCCCAGTATTAAATAACTGCCTTGTTAGTAGCTTCAGCAGAGATGCAAAGGACCAAATAAGGGCTCAGAGACTGTGTTATTCCCTGACCACTGGAGGTCATGCCAGATTTGGGGCACAGCTGGAAGCTTTTGCTTCTGCTACTCCGCAGCAGCTATTGAATGGACCAACAGAGGATTTAGGTCTTCAGAGCTGTTAATCTGGCCTACTATGTCAGTACAAAAGTCACACAAAAATATCTTAAAATACAAAGCGCTCTAAATGCCTGGTTGCCTTCCACATGAGTGTGGTGGCAAAGACTAAACTGGGAGGAAAACTATTCCCATGAAGTAAAAGATCATGGCAGGGAATGGGGGACAGGGCTAGGAGGACATAGAAATGAAAGGCAAATGGGACAGCAAGGAGAAATGGAGGAGAGGAACTGCGCAGATATTCTCATATTCTGTGAAGCAGTGTAGGGACCTGTTGAATTCTGCATTCTCAGCAATGACAGGTACCTCGCATATGCCTCAGGTGTCTTCTTTTCTAATGGAGAGCTGTGGAGAACAACACGGAGATTCACTGTGTCAAGCATGCGCAACCTTGGAATGGGGAAAAAGCTTATAGAGGAAAGAATTTTTGAAGAACTTCATTTACTTATGGAAACGGTCAAATCTTTCAAAGGTGAGCTGGAGAATATTCAGGCTAAATATTGCATCACTCAGACTTTTCAAGCACTGTCGTAAATGCAAGTGAAGCTCCCGAGAGGCTGTTGCATGACAGTTACACTTATACTTCTCTTTGTTCCTGTTACAGGTGAGCCGTTTAGCCTCAAGACCTTTAACGCTGCTCCAACCAACATCACTTTTCTTATGCTCTTTGGGGAACGGTTTGACTACAAAGACCCAACCTTTCTCACCTTGTTAAGACTCATAGATGAAGTTATGGTTCTTCTTGGCTCTCCATTCTTACATGTAAGTAACTTCTTCCAGTGTATTTTGAGTCACACAGGCTCCATGGTCCAGTGCAGCAAATCTCAAGCTGTAAGAACTAGAACATCCCAACCAAAAAAATAATAATAGTTTGGGTGTGGCTGTCCTAATTATAATCATTGTCATTAAAATGAGGTCGGATCCTCATACTATATTTGAAACTAACCCACCCACCACCATTTACAAGTCATTGGTCTAGCAGTCTAAACAAAGGGCCTGTGAGTTAGGAGTAACCGCACTGTCCAGAGTTGGATCCATTCTGAGAAAGGACAGGAAGCAGGTCTGCAAGTTTCTGCAACTCTGCAATCAATGCACTTCCCCTGTGACATTGGAGGTAACACTTCTAGCCCCAAGAACGGAGTTCAGGCTCTTGTGTGGTAGGTTGCAAGCCTGAGATTAAAGGATGGGTAAATAGAATCAGCTGTATTTGTGGATTCTGTAGCACATTCATAAGACTGAAACTCCAAGCCCATTTTGTGTATTGACAATTTTCCACGTCTATTATAGTGACTTGTTCTGAATTATACTTTACTAAGCAAAGGTTATCCGCAACAAGAAAAACTAGTTTGGGTGGAGGAAATCCATTGGTTGGTTTAGAGGGCCCTAGACAATGTCACGGGTCCACAGTGCTCCTGAGTGTTGTAATTTGCATTTGGATCATTAATTCAACTGGAAAAAAAATCACACTTTACCACACAACTCCCTCTATTGTTCATGTGAGGATGGTCACATGCAGAGTGTATTCAAGCCAGTTCATGGCATATAATCTGACACAGAGGCATCTGCCCACTTGTTCCTCCTCCCCCATGGATGGTCCTGGTTACAGACCTTTAATGATGAGCCGTTCCAGCACCCTTGTGCATGGTTCTTTCTGTATCTCGGCACATTGCGTTTAACACATCTCTTATTTTCCCTTTCTAGTTTTTTAATTTCTACCCATTCCTTGGCTTATTCCTCAAGCCCCACAAGATCTTACTTAAAAAAATAGAAGACGTGCGCGTCATTTTAAGGAATTACATCCAGATCAGCAGGCAGGACATCAACGAGAACTCACTGAGCTACATTGATGCATTAGTGTTCAAGCAACATCAGGTATATGACTGAGCTGATCCATTCACAATGTACTCTGATGTTTTCAAAACAAAAATGTTTAACTAGATCCTGATCTCAGACCTAACTAAAGTTCATGCAGTTATCCAGATGTAACTGAAATTGAACTCTGTTCCCCAACTTTTGCCATAATGTAACTAATGAATGTTTCACTGAAATTGGATGTGAAAACAGACTTCACCACGTTCTTGAAATATCACCCTACTTGATGATCTGTGATCAACTGTCTGTTCCTACAGCAAAATTAATGGGTTGCATAAAGGATGAATCTGACCCTAGGGTTTAATAAAGAAACCAGTCATTGATCTCATTGTTCTAAAAGGAATAACAGACACAAAGAAAATCAGTAGTTATATCACAACTACCTGTCATGGTCCCACATTTGCATCTGGTCACTGATTTCTAAGACACATTGATCTCAGTGTAATACTGGTTGGACCTACCTGATCCAGCACGCTTGGGACCTGGAGGGATTTTGTCAGACCAGGGAAGGTCTGCCCCTCTGTTGACAGACTCCGGTGTGTCAGCAGATTGTCAGGATCCCCTGGCTTCAGGCATCAGACTCCTGGCTCTGTGGCCCATTCCAAGACTGCTGGGGCTCAGCTGCTCTGACGCTGCCAGGGATCCACTTCTTTGGGCTGCCGGGACTCTATAACCCAGGGCTACCCTGGGGCTACTGAGATACCACAACCCCAAGTGGGGGCTCTCTGGTCCAGTAATGTCTGTGGTTGATGCTGGAGCAGAGCGTTTCAACCTGTATTAAAACAAAAAGCCATGTAGGCTCTATGGTTTTCTTCTTTCAAACAGAGCCGGGCCAGACATGCACATTGCACCTCCTAGTCATTCACCCTGAGCTGGGTTCACCGTGCTCCAGCCATCTGGCAGGGGAGAATGTTCACAAAAATATCTTTGTGCACATTCCAACTCTGCAGGTAGAGTGGGAGGTGTCCCTTGGAGGTCTGGAATCATTCAGCTCACATCCCCAGCAGCACATGGAAGGGAACAGTTATTTCCAAGCCCTGAAAAAGGAGCTTTAGGGCTGAGTTTGTGCCTTCCATCCAAAGTGGAGCTCAGCCCTGCTTCAGATTAGAGATGGACCCTCAACCAATCTCCTCCATCAAAACACCTCTGGCTTCTGGGGAAGTTCAGTTCCCCATTCAGATGTGCACTGTTTGGCTTAGGCCCAACTCTGCCCTTGACTCTGATATTGTTTGCTGGCTTCCCTTTGGCTTGCAAACTTAGGAGAATGCCTGAAAACATGATGGGTGAGGTGGTGCTTTGCAGGCTACTCAACCATCATCTTTCCTTTGTCAGGGTACATCTACACAGTATGCTTATTTTGAAATAGCACGTCTACACTACAGAGAAGCTGCAAAATTAGTCTGAGGCAGGTTTTCCTAATGTGGATGCGCTACTTTGATTTAGAGACCGAGGCGGCACTGGAGAGTAAATAGTCTGAATGGCCCTGGGGAGGCGCCATTTCGAAATAGCAGCAGTGGAGCGTCCACACAACTGCTATTTTGGAATAAGTGATATTCCTTGTGGAATGAGGCTTACAGATTTCAAAATAAGCCGTCCATTATTTTGAAATAACTGTGCTGTTTAGGCACCGCCTTGGAGAGCACAAGAGCCCTTTCAATACTAACTTAAACTTGTGTTTTTAAAGGAGACAAACAAGAAAGGGAGCCTGTTTCATGATGAAAATATAATAGCGTCTGTCCTAGACCTGGTCATGGCTGGAACGGAGACGACTGCCACAACTTTGCAGTGGGCCATTCTCCTGATGATGAAATACCCAGAGATCCAAAGTGAGCCACTCTACAGTTTCTCTTTGTTCTTGTCTTGAAAGTCAGGTGACGTCTGCTGTGTAGATACCAATGCTGCTTTCACCACAAAGGCTGCATCCCATCTCTTCATCAGTAGTTACTAGAAGATTGGCCTGGCTTGCTCAGGTTCTTAACTCAAATACGTTTCAGAGGAGTAGCCATCATAGTCTGTACCTGCCAAAAATCAACGAGGAGTCCTGTGGCATTTTAGAGATTAACAGATTTATTGGGGCATACACTTTTGTGGGTAAAATTCTAGTTCAGCACCCGATTGCAAAGGGAGATCGCTGAACTAACGTTAATTTGCAAATTCAATATGATCAATTTAGGATTGAATAAGTATCTTAACAGGTTAATGCATTAAAAAGGCAATATCCCCTCTCTTGATAGCCACATCAACTGCTGTGAATGAGCCACTTCCTCCCTGACTTGATTAGCCTCATTTACACAAGTGCCCTTTTTCTTTTGCTGTCCTTATCTATACCCATGCCTCTGTAAACTCCGCTCCAATTCATCTGATGAAATAGGTTTTACTCACAAAAGCTTATGCCCTAATAAATCTGTTCGTTTCTAAGGTGCCACAGGACTCTTTGCCCAATGAGTTTTGTTTTTCTTCATTTAAATCAGTGCTCTGGACTGGGGCTGGGGACAAGGGGTTCAGGATGCAGGCTGCCCTGAGAAGAGAGGACAACCCCAGCTCTCTCTCACCGTAGCACCTTGGGGCCAAGTGAGAAGCACCTGTCCATGGCCGCTGCAGTGGCAGCCAGGGGAGGAGTGCATGTCCCCTGGCTGGGGGACAGATAGACACACAGACAGACACACAAACAAACTCTTTCAAATGTACAGTAGATAGTTGTCTCTTTCTCCACCCCTGCCTCCTGTTGCACCAGTGGGGTTATAGCTGTTCCAGTCCCCATCTCTGGCCCCCTTGCTACCTCTCTCTGGTCATTACACAGTATAACTATCCCTGCTAGCAGAGCCCTCTTTTTCCAAGTTATGAGAAACAATCAAATTCCAGGCACAGCCCATTGTCCTGGTACAACCAAACACTTAACTTGCTTTAAGTTATGGTAAGAGGAAGCTACACACCAAAATTGGTGGTCCTAGCCCTTACTGTTTAGGAGGAATTCTTGAACAAACAGATTCACTCACAGACACACAAACGCTCTCAAATATATAGTAGATTATTTGTATGGTGGGATATAGGAGCCCCAGTCATGGAGCAGGATTCCAATGTGCTTGGCACTCGATAAACACAGAACAAAATGATTGTCTTTGTTCCAAAGAGTTTGCAGTCTAAATTGATTAATGCTGGCTCCTGTCTTCCAAAACGGAATGTTTCTGTATCCGGGAGGGAGCAGCGTAGAGAAGGGTTCTGTAGGTAGAAGGATACAAACCAAAACACACAAATTCAAAAATAGGGAACCAAATACAGGACTATGTAGCACTTTAAAGACTACCAAGATGGTTTATTAGGTGATGAGCTTTCGTGGGCCAGACCCACTTCCACAGATCTGATCTGAGGAAGTGGGTCTGGCCCACGAAAGCTCATCACCTAATAAACCTTCTTGGTAGTCTTTAAAGTGCTACATAGTCCTGTCTTTTGTTCCAGCTACACCAGACTAACACGGCTACATTTCTATCACAAAACTAGGGAGAGAGTCCTGTTGATGGGGCTCATTTGTGCTTGCTTCTACTTTTAGAAAAGGTGCAAGCGGAGATCGGGACCGTTGTCCAATTAGGAAGCTGGGCCACATATGAAGACCGAAAAAACATGCCATTTACAAATGCAGTGATACATGAAGTGCAACGATTCATCACCCTGCTGCCACACGTTCCACGGTGCACGTCTGTTGACACACATTTCAGAGGCTACTTCCTCCCCAAGGTACGTATTGCTTTTTAAAATGGACACCACCATGTTCCGCCCTTCGCCAACAGCAATGAATGGAGACTGAGGGTATGTCTACACAGCAAAGTTATTTCGAAATAACTTTCCTAGCGTCTACACAAGCCAACTGCTATTTCAAAATTAAATAGTCATTCCGCCCTCTAGGAGGAGCTCTGTGGGGCTGTCTGCAGAGTGAGGCTCTCTGGAAGACTAGGATGCAGGGTCTGGCCCCGTGTTTGAAGTTTCCAGAGCAGTGCTGGGGATTTAGCCACCTTCTAAACACTCCACACGGCCTTGAAAATCTTAGCCTGTATTGTGTACAGTGCACTGAATGTACGGGTTGAAATCAGCTGTGCAAGTGCACCTGGTAGAACCCAGAACCCAAGCTGGAGTTTGGCACAGCCAGCAGTCAAATCCAGGTTCCAGTGAGGTCACTAGCAAGGTTCACACTTACTTCAGTTAGACCAAGGTTTGGGCCATAGAAGGAGGAGACTGACACAGATCAGTGGAATTCAGTAATCGTGTAGGACCCAACCCTGCAGCTCTCTCTCACCTCGGTCACCAGTAGTCAGACAGATACAACATCCTTGCCTGTATGAGTACAGCATTGGCAACATTCCTACTCCGAATGTTGTTGTGGTTATTTACTACGGCTACTGTGGCAAGGCCACCGGCAGCAGGGAGCAGAGTGGGCAGTTGCCCTGGGGCCTTGGGCTCCGAGTCCTTTAAATCACTGTCAGAGCCCTGCACGGTTTGCTCCATGCAGCACTGAGGGCTGGCTAGGGGAGATACGGCACAGTCTGGGTGGCAGTAAGGGCTGACTGCCACTAGCCCCACCCCTTCTGCCCTAGGCTCCGCCCCTTCCCACAGGCCCAGTGCTGAGCCCTCCCCACATTGCCCAGGGCCCAGCAAAATCTGTAGTAGCACAGCCCCAGTCAAAGACTGGGGCACGTTATGCCACGCACTGTACTAACACTGAACAAACAGATGCTCCTGCCTCATAGAGCATTGAGCAACCCACTCCTAAAAAAATTCCTCACCATCAGGGAGTTAGCGCAGCCAGAGGTTCCATTTTGCTTTTGGATGTTTAGGGGTTTGTGCCTCACGTTGTATTCCAGGGAATAACCGTGATTCCTTCGCTCACCTCGGTGCTGCTGGATCAAACACAGTGGGAGACACCGCATGAATTTAATCCTTACCACTTTCTTGATGCTGATGGGAAGTTTGTAAAGAAAGAAGCTTTCCTGCCATTCTCCACAGGTAATGACGGGTCCTGTCCTGCAAGAGTTCTCAGGCTCTGGCAGGATCAGGAACTTTGTACTGGGAAACAGGGCATTGATTAGGAGAGATCTATTTCAATATGATCAAGCAAAGCTAATACCCTGGTAAGCAGAGCCAATGAATCTGCAAAGGACCTGTCTTATCTCAGCATAAGCTTTCACACTAACAAAATGGATCAGTGCTCAACTGATACAAAGATAGGCAAAGGAAAAGAAAGGTATTGGCTCCAAAGCACAAAAAAAGGGAGCCCAAAAGGTACCAAAGAGAGGCCAGTCAAAACAAACAGGACTCGAATGGTCCTCTAATCCAGATACATGAAGCTGTACCTAGGGCTGCCAGGTGTCCAGTTTGAACCGGACAGTCCAGTATTTGAGCTTTCTGATCGGGAAACAAATTGAGAAAATATAAATGTCCGGAATTTTCTAAATAAGATGTAATGTAGATTGTGATGTAATGTCAAGTGTGTCCGGTATTTTTGTTGACACCATTTGGCAACCTTAGCTGCACCATTGACTTACTCTGTGACCTTGACACATCACCAAAACCTTTCTGGATTTCAACTTCTTCATCTGCAAAATACAGTTAATAATACTCACAAGAGAGTGGAGAGTAAGGCTTCACTGAAAGATCCCGGCTCGACAGACTTGTAAAATACGGATCTATTCCACTCTAAATATGTGTGTGTGTTTGTATGCATGCATGTGCACACACACAATGAAGGTGGAATAAATCATACAAAGTCCTTCCCAAGAATTCAAATTACATTTTGACGGGAAAGGAACATTGCAAAATATCAGAAATTTCCTGTGAAATTCCATCCTAATCCCTCTTTAGTGAAAAGGTGTCCTCCAACCGGCTTCTCTGCTGTGGCACAGTAATAAATGTTCCCAAATGCTGTTAATTTCCAAAGTTGCCCCCATCCTGGCCTGCCCGTGCTGTTAGCCAGCAGGGTTTGTTACAAGTGGGCACAGCTGGAAAGAGTAGCCTGCACGGCAGGAATCCTGAAGTATTATCAAGGGAGATTTCCTATAGAAATCCTGCCTTGTAACCCAACACATTTCAGCTGTCTCTGTTAGAAGTTGAGAGGACCTGGGGACCAGGAGTCCAACTGTGACCCAGCCTAGGATTGGATGCTGCAGCACTGCATCAGCCAGCCTGTGAGTTTGCATTGTTGATGCAAAAATCAACAACGGTGGTTTTTATGTCAGGAGCCACTTTGCCCTGATTCCTTCATGATGTCATCTCTCACATAGGGTACGTCTAAACTACATGGCTCCGTCGACGGAGCCATGTAGTTTAGACGTACCCTATGTGAGAGATGACATCATGAAGGAATCAGGGCAAAGTGGCTCCTGACATAAAAACCACCGTTGTTGATTTTTGCATCAACAATGCAAACTCACAGGCTGGCTGATGCAGTGCTGCAGCATCCAATCCTAGGCTGGGTCACAGTTGGACTCCTGGTCCCCAGGTCCTCTCAACTTCTAACAGAGACAGCTGAAATGTGTTGGGTTACAAGGCAGGATTTCTATAGGAAATCTGGCAGAGCGCGGCAGCCATGTAAATTTAAATGAAGCCATGATTATTTAAATTGCAGCTTCATTTCCCTTTGCTGATCAGCCTAATCTACATGGCTCCATCAATGGAGCCATGTAGTTTAGACACACCCATACAGTCATTCTGGGGCAGGGAATCCAGCTCAAACAGAAACAATCGTATGGGAACCAAGAACAAAACACAGTCACCAAAGTGGGACTGACGGGGTGATACCCTACAGGTCTTCGAACATTCCACCTTCGGGGGAGAGAACATGTCTCTGGCAGGTTGACTTTTAAGAGAAAGGAGTTGTTTGAAAGTGCTCAGGGTGCTGTGGTGTCAGGGTAAGTCTGTGGATGATCTCCAGGGACTCCTGTTGTATTCGAGATCTCAGCTGAGATTCATAGGCCCATTGTGCCAGGTCTGTACAAATACACAGGGAGAGGTAGTTCCTGACCTGTAGCATTCCCAGTCTAAACAAACAAGACAGACATAACACGGGAGGGGAAGAAATGCACAGAGAGGGGAAGAGACATACCTAGGCTCATACAACAATTCAGTGGCTGAATTAAGATCTCTCCTTACATCCTAGCCACTAGGCCATGGGTTCCCAAACTAGGGAGGGGTGTCCCCATGGGGGGGGGCATGAAGAAATCCCAGGGGGGGCGTGGTGCAACCCAGCCCTCCCCCCCCATTAATTCTCTCCCCCTAAGTTTTGCTGCTATTTTTGTCCTTCGGCCCTGGTCAGTTCGTTTTTTTTTGCTCAACAAGTTTTCCTGCTATTTGGGGGGGGGGGGGGGGGGTTCTCAAAAATCAAAAAGGGGGCATGATGCCGAAAAGTTTGGGAACCACTGCACTAGACCATACAGCCTGGCAGGGACGAGGATGCATAATACATTCATGTATTATATAGCCTGGCAATGTACCATGTGACTATCACCTCCTTGCTATATGAATGTGTCTGACAAATAAATCAGCACTCATATTGTTACAATGCCAATTACTTTGCTCTAATTGTGTGTATATGGGGAGTGCCATTACTGTGCTGAATAGATCACCTGATGACTGTAACAGTAACATACACCACCCTTGCCACTATGTCTCTGACAATTAAAACGAATAACTTTTGACACTGCAGGGCGCAGGAATTGCATTGGAGAAAGCCTGGCCAAGATGGAGCTGTTCCTGTTCTTTGTAGGGCTGCTGCAGACATTTACTTTCCAACCCCCGCCAGGGATCACAGAATCAGACCTGGACCTTGCTGTTCCTCAGACTACATTCACGTTAAGACCACAGCCTCAGGCGGCCTGTGCTGTTCTGCGTGAATAAGCAGGGTGGGATTAGGGAATTGTTCCTTTGGATTGACTTTGAGTGCACAGGACATTTCTAGTGGGCACAGCAAAGAGAATGCAGCACCTCGGAGAAATGGTCAGTAGGTTTCAGATGAGCTAGATATTGCGCTTTATTCACTGCAGTCGCTTCTCACTCTCTGCTTCTCACAGACTTCAAGGCCAGAAGGGCCCATCATGATCATCTAGTCTGACCTTCTGCACACTGCAGGCCAAAGAACCTCACCCACCCACTCCTGCAATAGTCCCATACTGTATAGGCTGCTGGACCTATGCACTGAGCAGTGTTCTATCTGAAAAAGAATATTATGGGAATCTCAAGATGACTGGAACACCCTTTCTCTGTAATGGGCAGAAATGTTGTAGGGCACTCATGCTAGAGTCATCCAATAGGATCTAATGAATTTCTTCAAGATCTCTGTAGCCATCTGTAGCTTCTACCAAAATTCTACTGTTACCCTCCCCCAGATGTGCTTCAAATGTCAACGCTGAGGCTGCACAACTTACAAAACCATGACTTGTTCACAGGATTTGAGAGTGGCCTGTTAGTACAAGGTTTGGGGACAGAGACCTTAGGGGGAGTGAGCAAACACTGGACAATGACATAGGCATTCGCTCAATGATGAAATTCCGCGTCATCATTTAAATGAAAGAGAGAAGAGGTACATAGAACAGTAATCCAAAGCCATGCACAGGTTTATGCATTTCTGCCCTCCTCGGGCTGCCTAAATGAGTGGAAACTAGCACAATATAACAAGTCTGACTTTTGGAACCTGTCGTTGCAATAGGTTTTGGGTGGGCTTTGATAGGGATTATTCCTGTGTCAGCTGGACAACTGGGATCAGGAAACCAGTGGAAGAAGGGGGAGGGCTTTGAGATTTGTTCTCTTCTGTACTCTTGTCACCTCTGCTTGAGCATGCTCTTTTTATCTGCCATTGTATTAATGAATCACGCTTTTCTTCCTGAATAGCTCAGGCATCCGTCTGTGCTTATATTCTGACTGCTGATTGCTATCACTGAATATCCATTATGCTCTCAACATGTGTTTTTTTTTATCAGGCCACTCAATAAAAGTTTTAACCCCAAAATGTACTTACTGCATATAATGTGCAGAACTGAAGGAATTTAAACAGCACATGGAAAGTTGCTTGGCGAGAAACCGCAGAGATAGATTTGTCCTACTACACTGACACAGACTAACAGCCCACCTAATTACCACAGGTCTGGGGCAAGCTTGTATGGCCCAGCCAACCTAGCTAGATCACACTACCTTGGGTGTCTATACAAGCTACAACCCCGTGCTGTGATTGCAATGTACATGGATCTTCAGATTCACCAGTTTGACCTTTATGATCTAGTTTGACCTGCATAATGCAGGGGAGACAATTGCAGCTAGCGCTCCTGCATGAAGCCCATTCTTCTGGCTGAACTCAAGCATTTCTTTGGGAGAGGCATCCACTGATGTCAAGTGTTCCCTCAGCATTCTGCACCACGGGCGAGCATGCTAGGACTGAATCGCCTTCCCTTTCTCATACCCCAGTGTAAGTTCTTCCTCCCACCTCTGATGAGGGGCTTTCCTTCCACTGAATAGATACAGGCCCCCATGTATCCTTACCTCAAAAGATTGTCTGGGGGCCCTGAAATAAAAGTTTTAAGAAAGAAAGAATCGTTCTTCCCCAGAAGACAAAAAGCCCAGTCCTGAAGGAGGTATCAGAAGATGGTCCATAGCGGACATCAGCCAAGGGCAAGAAAGCTGGCTATTCTTGAAAAAAGGTAGGCAAGTCAGGTCAGAAATCACTCAAGGCAAGTCCTAACCCAGGCCTGTCTCCTCAGTTTCCTCTTTCACTTCCCCTAACACAGCACTCTTTAGTGACATCCCCCTAAAACCAGGCTGAAATCCTGCCTTCTTGAAACGAATTGGTATTTTGTTATCAGTTTCAGTGGGTCAAGATCAATGTATTCTCTAATCTTTTCCATCCATGGGTGGA